AAAATTCCCCCAGATAGATAGAGAAGCCAAAGACGCTTCAATTAAAAGTAACAATGTCCAACTGAGAAGTAATTTCAGAAACCATAGCTACTGCAAACAATATCCTCCTGTGCAGACAAATCCTTCTAGAATTACTTTACATCTTTGAACAAAGCAAATGTTAAAATGACTCGCATGTTAAAAAAAAATACATTCCTGGAAAAAAGCATACAAACTTTGAAAGAATAATGAATCCCCTCAGCCTAAGCCAGGACCACTTAAATAAACAATATAGTACTTTTTTAAGCAGTTTGAATGAGTACACATCTAGCAATTCCTGTAAGGTGAGGGATGTGTAGTCCATTCACAGATATATGATTCTGTGTGTGTAGGTAAAATAGAGATGGAGAGTAGCAGCACATGTTCTCAGCAGAAAACACCACAGGATGACACTATTTGTTGTAAGATTACAATCCCTTCCTATGGAGTAACCCTCACTGAAAGTCATATAGATTAATTTATAGCTAGTGTAGACAACTTACCAATGGAAAAATTTACTTACATTGAATATTGCATTACATTTGCAAAAATAAATTTCAGCAATATAATTATTTAAATACAATTAACATTAACTAGAAGCATTGCCACAAGATACGATCATAGAACAAATAATAAATATGCATATTTTTAAAGCTAAGTTATGCCAGGTCAAAATCTTTGTACCTTAGTTGTTAAGCTTCCTTATGACTTTATCGATCAATTGAAGACATCTCCTCATTTCTGCACGACTGATCTCCCAGGAGCACAGATTGTGTTGTTTGTCTTTAAGAAAACAGTCTATTTTTTGGAAGTACTTTTTCAGTTTCAGCCTGTTGACTTCTTTGCTCTGAAAGTAGTGAGTCTTCTTCTTGATTACACACACCTCCAACTGCTCAATTTGCTGATAAAGTCCATTTTGGAATTGTTCTAAAGCTCTCCCATCCCAAGCAGCTAGAGTCAGATTTTTGCTGAAGATATAGAAGATGTGTTGGAAAATCTCTTCAACAGCTACTTTGACAGTGTCTTTCTGTCTGGGCTTTAGAACCTGCTCAGGAAATCTGAAGGACATTTTCTCTCTTAGGCAGTGTTGAGGAAACTTTTTGCCCATTTTGTCCAAAAGTTGCAGGCTGTTCTTGATCATTTTTCTTTGCTGTAAAGGAAGGTGATTACACTGAAGACTGGAGATGGTGGTGGTGCAGACCAGTATGAGGCCAATTTGTATCAAGCCAAAAGCGTTCATGATAAGGATAAGCTCTTATGTTCCTCCTTTCCTGTGTATAAATTCTGAGAGACAGGCTGGGATGCTTTGAAGGTCATTCATAGGCTCCTGTCTCTTCAAAATCTTGAAATTTAATTATTCTGTAGGAGAAGTTTTCTGTCATCATTTTTTGGTTTTTAAGGTTTTCCCCTTGTGTACGCTTTTGACACTTACCACTTTCATTTTCTGCTTTATGACTTCATTGTCTTTTTTTTTTTGCCACTTTCTTTTTATTTCAGCTGGGTATTAGAATGTTATGTATATTGTAGATTAAATATTCGCTCTCCCTCAAATATTCTACAGGAAGTGCAATGAGAATTTAAAAGAAAAAGAAATATCCTTAGTTTCTTAATATTTTAGCAGGGAAAGAACATGCTGACATGAAATAACACTCTCAATGATGGGTCAGGAACCTGCTGAATACTACTACCATCCTGTCTCCTCAGTGTGATTTATACTTCCAAAATCAGTTACGCTTTCTCTGCCTGTTTTCATTCAGGAAAAATATTTTCTTTCTCCTCACCTTTATTTCTCTTCACTATTTAGACTCAAAGGACAGATGTCATATCATTAAAATATGTGTGTGATATATATATATGTATTTTAAAATGTGTATATGCATTAATATAGCTATGTGTATTTTAATTCATGCACACTGCTAATTAAGTGAGGCCTTGATCTCACTTAGAGACTGTGAATACAAATACTCACATGGGAACAGGTTAGATACTTGCATGAAATAGTCTTTTTTTCCCCCCATATGAGTGATTAAGCAATAATTAATATCAATGTCAGTAGAGCACAGGTCTGAATTCTGATGTATAATGGGAAGAGAATGGAGAAGACAAAAAATCATAGAATCATAGAATCATAGAATGGTAAGGGTTGGAAGGGACCTCAAAGATCATCTAGTTCCAACACCACCCCTGCTGTGAGCAGGGACATCTCCCATTAGACCAGGTTGCTCAGAGTTCCATTCAACCTGGCCTTGAACACTTCCAGGGAGGGGGCAGCCACAGCTTCTCTGGGCAACCTGTTCCAGTGTTTCACCACCCTCATGGTGAAGAATTTCTTCCTAATATCTAATCTAAATCTGCCCTCTTTTAATTTACAGCCGTTCCCCTCTTGTCCTATCACTACACACCTTTGTGAAAAGCCCCTCTCCATCCTTCCTGCAGGCCCCCTTTAGGTACTGGAAGGCTGCTAGAAAGTCACCCTGGAGCCTTCTCTTCTCCAGGCTAAACAGCCCCAACTCACTCAGCCTGTCATTGTAGGAGAGGTACTCCAGTCCTCTGATCATCTTCGTGACCCTCGTCTGGACCCGCTCCAAAACATCCATGTCCTTCTTATGTTGGGGGCTCCAGAGCTGGGCGCAGGACTCCAGGTGGGGTCTCAGGAGAGCAAAGGGGCAGAATCACCTCCCTCGACCTGCTGGCCACACTTCTCTTGATGCAGCCCAGGATACAATTGGCTTTCTGGGCTGCAAGCGTACATTGCCAGCTCATGTTGAACTTCTCATGCACCAGTACCCCCAAGTCCTTCTCCTCAGGGCTGCTCTCGAGCCCCTCTCCACCCAGAAACTTGTGTTTCGGATTACCCTGACCCACGTGCAGGACCTTGCACTTGGCCTTGTTGAACTTCATGCGGTTCACGCAGGTCCACCTTTCCAGCCTGTCAAAGTCCCTGTGAATGGCATCCCTTCCCTCCAGCGTGTGAACCACACCACACAGCTTGGTGTCACCGGCAGACTTGCTGAGGGTGCACTCAGTCCCACTGTCCATGTTGCCGACAAAGATACTGAGCAGCATTGGCCCCAGTACCGACCCCTGAGGCACACCACTCATCACTGGTCTCCACCTGGACATCAAGCCATTGACTGCAACTCTTTGTGTGCATCCATTGAGCCAGTTCCTTATCCAGC